TATATTTTAAGAATTTCAAATGGCAGCTACAAATCATTCCTATTTAAAGGACATGATAAATCAATAGAAAGATGACATCATTGAAGAAAAAGATTGGACACACACACAAAGATGAGATCTGACTTCTTTCTTTCTCCCCGAAGGAAAGGTTACCATTAACTCAAGTAATTATTGGGAAAGTTCATTTAAGATGCAGAATACTGTAATAGAATAGCAATTTAAAACATAACCATGTCACCTTGAAAGAAACTCTTAAGTGACATTCTTAATAAGTAGGCCAGAGAAACTTTGAACTGTCAAGGTTTCTTTTTGCTAAAATACTCTTATTGGAAGTAAATTGAGAGGTAGAAATTGATAAAATTTTCAAAGGGAATTGTAACATGATATTGAAGCCAACCCTTCATAATTTTTGAGTATAAGAACTAGCAAAATAAATGAGGTCACAAACACTTAAACACGTGGTAAGCATACATGTATACCCACTCATGCTTAAAAGGAGGATCTATACACTACATAAGAACATTTGGAAACAAATAAGAAATACACAATTTTAGGTCAAATAGATCTTCAGAAGAAATGCTTCTGTAATTGAGAGAAAATAGTTTATTGAAATAAAATTGTATTGAGCTACTGCTAATATTATTACTGCTAATCAAGTTTTTCAGAATTTAATAATTAATTAATAATACTGGCAACAGTGAAAAGGACTAAGACCAAACAATGGAGCCCACTGTTCTAGCTTTCTGAAACTTACTGAGAAGCAATTTGCAGAATGAAATGTAGGTTTTTGATATCAGATACATTTAAGTTCTTAAATTCTTGAGAAAGAATAGGACTGTCCATAATGAAGCACTCTCTTTCCAATATTAGTAGTAGAAATATTTTATAACATAAGCAAACAAATAGATTTTGAGCACTTACTATTACAAATTATTGACATATGTGTGTACCAAGCATGAAGTGTCTGGCTAAAAATGAATGGTTCATAAGGACATCTAATGTCTTGAGCTGGAATATTTCACAAGGTGTCCAATAATAATTTGTAAAATTATCAGATAATAATAAACTATTGATAAATACTTATATAAGTATAATAATTTTTTTTTAATTTACACTGTGCCTTAGGAGAGCCTTTTTCCCCTTCAAATTTAGCTCATGAGATTTGGTTGACCTCAAGTTTTCTTTATAATTATAAAGAATATTATTATTCTTTATAATTATATTCTTCATGTAAAGACAGCTTGAAATATCCTAACTTTTCCTGATATTCATGTGAGGCAATTAAGCCATTTTGGATCCAGAATTTCCTAAGTCATAAGTCTCAGTCAGCATAATGTGATTTGGATGATAATGTATGTCTTTGCCTAATGCTTTACTGAGAAGAGCATTAAAGCAAAAGACAGGTGATAAAAGTTCTCTTTTTTCAACATCTTCATAACTTGGTTGAAAATGATAGATTGGCTAGCTTATTGATTTAGGAATGATCACCAATATTACTTCCCCTAAATGAATATTAAGATGGTTCATAACAGATTTGAAACCTGATTTCTAGATTCCCTTATAAATGTGTACAAATTTATAAGTTTTACTCTCTTTAAATTTCTACCTTAGAAACATTCCCATATGCACACAGGGGATCTCAATTTTGTATTTTCCCAAGAATTTAGTGACTGCCTACACACACACACACACACACACACACACACACACACACACACTTTTTTATATTGCTGGGGAAGCAATAAAGCATAATAGTTCAGGGCTTTGATCTGGATTAAAATACCACCTTTGCCTTTTACTTGCTGTGGACTTTCAAAGTTACTTATCCTGTGTCCCTACTTCTATACTTATAAAAAGAAGGTAATCTTATTGACCTCTTAAGATTTGGGTGAGAATTAAATATGCTAATATATGCAAAACACATAGGACAGTGCCTGGCAAACAATGAGGATTCAACAAGTGTTAGCAGATAATCTTATCACTGTATCATTTCTCAATCTGAATTCTTGTTTATACCATGGACCCAAAGGGCCCCTTTGGGGTGAATTAAGTGTGTGCTCAATAAATGATCCTTTCTGTTCTAATTTCTTCTCATTAAAATTTGTTTCCCAAACTTCAGTCATTCACTTACATTTGTGTGTTTTTTATATTTCATAACACATATTCCTTAGTTAGTATACTATTTATACTGTATTACTTAAATATCTTTATTTTAAAGGAAAAGGTATCCATATCACTAGTAAGTGGCTTTGATATGATAAATTTTTCTAGTAAATATTAAAATTTTATAAATATTTAAAATAAAAACATTCATCAGCTAAAATAATCTCTTATGTCCCTGACAATATTTGCATAACACATTTTGAAACATAGCCTTAGAGGAAAGCTTTGTATAGGTGAGTAGAAAGGAAATTTAGAGGATGGGGGGCCACTATGCTCATCAAAACCTAGTAGTGGTGAGACAGAAGAGGGCATGGACTTGGCCGTAGAAGAAATGGTAGGTGAATGGCCAGGTGGCCGTTCATCAATATTGTGGAGATATTTACTTGCTCCTACTTTCTCTAACACTTAAGCTTGAGACACTTCACAGGAGAATAACTTTTATCCCAAGACTGGAAATCTAGTTAGGTTTCAAGAAAAAGAGAACAAGAAAATTTCCCCCCATCCCAGAAGTCTTCAATCCTCACAAGTTAAATATAAAATATGTATATTAAATTTGCAGTGGAGATTATAAATCTTAGTATAATGAGCAGTAGATGAGAGTAGGAATTTCTAAATATATAGTAATATAAAATGATTTCCTGGTTCTTTAAGAAGTTTAAATACCAAATATATATATTTTCCCACTGTTGAGAAGAAGCTGAAATATCAATGGATAACAGGTGTGAATTTGGGGTTTTCTAGGATCACCCCCATTAACTAACTATTCTGCACTCAGGTTCATTTTGACATTAATTAAGCATCAACTCTGCTACTCTTATCTAGGGTAGTGTTAGCAACTAAAATTCTCTAAAATATATGATGTCTCCAAGAAATAGAAGTTTACTTCTCATATAACAGAAGGAAGTTTTCTGAAGGAACTCTATCTGCAACTTTTCTCTAAGTATAAAATTATTCCAAAATAAAAAGTTTACTAAAGAAAACCAGGTGAGTTTCCCTGGCCTGGTAGCTTTCAGGGCCTGAGCTTCTCCCATATTGTATCTGCATCCTGACAGAGGGCCTCATTCAGCTTTACCCTCAGCCGGTATATGAGGAAAGACAGAAGAGAGAAACTCTCACTGGTTACCAGCCTCAACTGAGGAGTGGCTCATCTTGTTTCTGCTCACATTCCATTTGTCTGAACAGTCACATGGCTACCCCTAACTCAAGGCATGCTGGGAAATGTAGTGCCCAGGAAAATGTATGTGCCTACGAAAGAGAGGACAAAATTTTGGTGAACAGCCAGCAAGCTCTTTAGTCTTCCCTGCCCTTCACCATATATCAGTTTGCCACCCGTCTTCCAGCAGTTAATAATCCATGCATCTGCCTCCCAAAGGTGACATCCAAAAGTCCCATCCAGATATTGCATCAAGCTCAAATTCCAGAATCTCTGGTGATAAACAGCTCTCTCCATAAAGTCCAGGTCTCTCCAGGGGGATTAAATGATTTAGATCTTGAAATTTAAGCTCCCTGTTCCACTTTTTCCCACCATATCCAGTAGATAACGAAGGAACAAGAACTTGGTAACCAGAAAACACAAACAAAAATGCCTCTCATTTGTAAAAGGAAAGAATGGTAAACAGCCAACAATCACTGGACCAAAATGATGATTAAATCCTTCTGGGCAGGCCCTGTGAGACCCTTGCCCTGGCAGGAGAGAGAGTCCTTGGCTCTCCTTTCTGGGAGAATTCCCTGTGCCCATTGCCTCCAGAGTTTCTCTTTCTTACTTTCTCTATTCTCCTCCATTCTCCCCCCCCATATAAAATATGAAATAGTATTAATGAGAACTTCTGTTTAAGTTATCAAACAGTACAAGATTTAATTATAAATTCCTTCTCTTTCTCTTTTTTGTTTTGTTATGGAATCTGACTATGATGCTTCTTTAGGGGAAAGAACAATATGACTTTTTAAAAATTTGTTCCGCAAGCACCTGTCATGTGATTTTTGTGTAATTAAACATATCTAGATAAGAGTAGAAGGCATGAAAATTAATAGAACACCGATACTGAAAAAGCTGAGCTCACATCATAGACACAAAGTGTTTCAATAGAAAATACTTTGTCTCAGTTACTATTACTGCATTACAAATCACCCTGAAACAGAGGTGTAAAACAATGGTTTGGTTATGCTGAGAGTCTGGTCAAAATTTTTTAAAAAGCACAGCAGAAATAGCTTGTCTGTAGTCCATGATGTTTGAGGCCTCTGATGGGAAGCTTGAAGGCTGAGAGTGACTCAGTGGTTGGGAGAGGGAACCATCAGGAGTTCTTTATATTTACATGGCTGGTGGTTGATGCTGGCTGTCTGCTAGAACCTCAGCAAGTCTAGCAGCCAGAAAACCTGAGTCCTCTTCATGTAGAGTTATTTGGACTTCCTTAAACACAGTGACTATTTTCCAAGAGTGAGGATTCCCAAAAATCACGGAGGAAGTGCATGACATTTTTGTGCTCTAACCTTTGAAATCAAATAGTAGGACAACTGTTGTACTCGTTGGTTGAAGCAGGCATAAATGTCTGCCCAGGTTCAACATGAAAGAAAATGGACCCCACCACTTGATGAAAGGGGTGTCAAGGTTACATGGTAAGAAGAGCATATGAATTTGAGATATTGTTTCAGCCACCCATCTTTGAGTACTCATTGTATTCAAATTAGTCAGTGTCCAAAACATTTGCTTCTTATTTTATACCTACATTATTCACCTTCTTGAATAAATCTGAATATGGTTATCTTTATGTGCACTCTTACTATATTGTGCTCTATTGAGAAAAATAATATAGTAATATCAAATATCACCTTATTTGTAGATATCCCGACACAGAAGGAATCATTCACAGCATGTCTTGAAAGACGTCATTCCTCCATTGGAACAATTGGTGAGTAATTATTTCATTGTGTTCTTGATCTACTGGTACAAAATTAATCACCCCAAAACCCATCAACCTAAAACAGCACATGTTATTATCTCCTATTTCTTTGGGTCCAGAATCCGGACCTGGCTTAGCAGGATCCTCTAACTCAGAGGCTCTGAAAAGGTTGCAGTCTAGGTGTCAGCCAGGCCCCAAAACCCATCAACCTAAAACAGCACATGCTATTATCTCCTATTTCTTTGGGTCCAGAATCCGGACATGGCTTAGCAGGATCCTCTAACTCAGAGGCTCTGAAAAGGTTGCAGTCTAGGTGTCAGCCAGAACTGGGGTCACATCTGAAGGCTTGACTGGGGAAGGTCTGCTTTCAAGCTCACTTATGTGGCTGATGGCAGGGTTCAGTTCCTCCTGGGCTGTTGGCCAGAGGCTGTGTTCAGTTCCTTGTCACGTGGGCTTCTGCATCATGGCATCTTGCTTCTTCAAAGCATGCAAGGTGAGAAGTCACAATCTCCTGTAACCTAATCATAAAAGTAACAAAAAATCCCATCAAGTTTGCCACATTCTCTTGGTCAGAAGCAAGTCACTGAATTCAGTCCTCAGTTAAGGAGAGGGGATTATGTAAATGTGTGAAAAACAAGAAACAGAGATTATCGAGGCCTAGTAAAAATATTGATAGTTTTTTCATTGTTTGTTTTAAGGAAATTTAACCCTTTTCCTGTAGATATGAAGTCCATAAGTCCATAAGAGCAGAGCTTTTTTTTTTCTTTCCATTTTTGTTTTTTTTTGTATCCTAATGACCAGAAGAGTGACTGAAACATTGTTAATAAAACTAATGAAGTATTAGAGATATCTTAAAAATACATAAGCCCAACCTTTCTGACATGTTGTGATACTTCTTTCTCTTAATGATCTCCTTTTTGACAAATATAACATCCTATTTCTCCATATCATTCAGCTTGTCCTTCCTGCTATATTTCACATTGATCAGCATGTTTCCAATAACATGCCTTACAGGACACTACACCACGATGACTTTATTCCTATCTACCTTCTGCTATTCCACACCAAACAGTGCCTTTTCTTGGTTCAGTTCTCTTATTTTCCTTTATTTTGCCTATTCTAGATCCTTCATCCTCACTCCAGCTACTGATCTATTACTCTGCTTTACTTTAGGATAAATTCCTCAAAAGAGTTGTCTACATTTCCTAATCCCCCCTACTCTATCTCTTGGACCCACTCAATTTAGGCTTTTAATACAAGCACTCACCTCTTATCCAGGTCACTAATTGCTTCCATGTTGTTAAATCCATTGGTAAACTCAGTTCTCTTCTTAGTAGACATATGTGAGAATTTAACACAATTGATAACTCTCTTTTTGAAACATTTTCCTCACACAGTTACCAGTAAACTTCTTTCTCATAGATTTACAATGAACTAAATGGGCCATCTCTGTTCCCTCCTCTTTGCTGGTTCCTCTTTATCTTGGAGCTCATTTCTTAACATTGATTCTTTCTCTCTATGGTCATTCCCTAGGGCTCTCATTCAGTGTTATGGATTTATATAGAAAGTTACAATAACCAGTTCTAAATTTCTATCTCCAGCATGGGCCACTGCCTTGAACTCCAGTATTGTATGTCATGGCATTTTCACATACATCTCAAACTTCATATATCCTAAACTGATACTGATTCTCCCCAAACCTGTTCTCCGAGTCTCCTCTGTTTCACAAGATGTTAGCTTCATTCTTCTAGGTGCTTCAGTCAAAACTCTTAAAGTCATCTTTGACTCCTTTATTTCTCCCATCACATGAACTTGAACATCATGGAACCATACTTGCTGCATCATCAAAATAAATCCAGAATCCGTTCATTTCTTATCACTTTATGCTTTATCATCTCTCTCCTGATATATTGAAATAGCTTTCTAACAGTCTGCCCATTTCACGCATTCTACTCTTTATTTTTAACACAACAGCCAGAGTGATCTTGTTAAAATGTTAATTAGATTATTTACATTCCTTGTCTTAGTCAGTTCAGGGGTTATTACAAAGTACCATAGACTGGATGGCTTATAAACAACAGAAATTTATTTCTCACAGTTCTGGAGGGTGGAAGTCCAAGATCAGGGTGCCAGCATGATCAGGTGCTGGTGAGGGCCTTCTCCTGTGTTGTAGACTGCTGACTTCTTATTGTATCCTCACATGGAAGAAAGAGGATGAGAGAGCTCTCTGGAAGCTCTTTTATAAGGGCACTAATGCTATTCATGAGAATACCCTCATGACCTAGTCACATCCCAATACATCATAACACCACCACATTGGGGGTTAGGATTTCAAAATATTGACTTTAGGGGAGCACAAACATTCAGTCCATAACATCACTCCTTGATGCAAAATCCTTCCTAGGTTTTAATCTTTCCCAGGTAAAAGCTAAAAAATGGCCAGTGGGTCACAGGCCCTACATTTCCTGGCTTCGTCTCTGATCACACCTCTCCCTCTCTTCTCATGGCTCATTCTGCTCCAACCAAGCTGATATCCTCACTGCCTCTGCAGGACAATTCCACCTGCTTTTTCCACTGTTAAAAATTAATTTATTTGATGCCCTCAAATTTGTTAAATCTCTTTTGTTCATTTGCTTTACTCTCTGCTTTAACATCACCTACTTATATAGGTCTTCCCTAATCTCCCTTAAATGAACAGACAGACAAAAAACTACACCATTTCCATCTTCGCTCCTCCTCTCTTACCCTAATTTAATTTTCTCTGTAGACCTCACCACCACGTGGCATACTATATAATTTCTTTTTATTTGCTTGTCATGCCATTGGAATGTTAGTTCTGTGAGAGCAGGGACATTGTCTCCCATGTTCATTACTCCATTTTCATGACTAATGATTGCTGAAACATGGGAAGAACTCATTAAATATGTTCACTAAGTGCATGAATGAAAAGTTAATGGCTTTCATTTTTACTTCCAAGCTTATCAGACACAGATTTATACTTGTATACTTTCTCTCCAGTATCTTATTCTGTATCTTCAAGCATTAAGCAGTCATTTATTGTAAAACTTCTCAATATGATCGAAGTGAAATCCCCCAAGTTGAGTCTATCATCAGCATCTTCCTAAGCTGATTTGCATTTCTATTGAGCCCATCTCTATTAGCAGCAAGTGTGTATCTAGGCTTAGGACACATTTTCTTTGGATCCTTATTTTCTCTGTGATTCACATAAGTCACCATTTTTTGAAGCGGTTTCTCCTCAGCGGTTGTGCTGTCCACATGCCTCTCCTTGTGCACACACCACCTTGCCTAGGCCTTCAAATGCTTCTGATCTCACCTCCTGCACTCCATGTACCCCTCCCACAGATCCTGTGCAGCCATTCCAGACCAACCTTCTGTAGACTGAAATAATGAAGATACCTTCATTATTTCATTTTCCTTGTCAAAACTTTCACAGCTTTCTATTTTCTATAGCATCAAGTCTATAGACTTCACTCACGGTCCCTGATTTATGTTATTTATCATCTACTCCCAAATACATACCCTCGAGCCAGGAATAGTAACATGATTAAGACATGGCTCTAACCCTGAAGGCACTTGGATTTTCTGTAGCAATTACAGTCCCTTCATCCCAGCGCATGTTCACACACTGTTTTGTGCTGTTCACTTTTATTTCATGGGTAATAGACTTTTTCCAAGGCCAGACTGTAAATGCCTTGAAGTTAGAGGCCATGACTTGTATTTTCTTTATTATATCACTTCCACTTGTATTACTTTTGGCACTAGTGTTTGTTCAGGAAAGATATGTTTGTCAGTTGACGTACTAATAAGATATTAAAGGTTTATTGAAACAGCGTTGGTTGCAGAACTGAATAAATACATGTCTGCTATTCATAGTGAAAGCAAATTTTTCAATATAAATAGATATAATAATATCTTGTTTTCAAAGTTAATAACGCAGTTCTCAATTTAGAGATCGTTTTCTCTGGGAAACATTCCTCTGATTCCTCAGATTTGAATTAGGTAGCCCTTGTTTGATTCACCTCCCAATAGCAACTTGGTCTTGCCTCTATCCCAGCCCCATCACGCGAAAATTGCTTCCTATTTCCTTCTCTGTCTCTCTTGATGAACTATAAGCTATTTGAAGGGAGGGCTATGCCTTATTCACTGTTTTATTATGAAGACTTTGTATAAAGCCCGGCACACTGGAGTTGTCCAATGAATACGAAAATAAATGCTTTATTTGTTCTGTAATTCAAATTTTTACATACATTTGGATTACACAGCAGATAAAGCACAAACAAATAATTATAAAGAGCTGTATTTATAAAAAATGACCAAAAATGTTTGCCCTGAAGTATTTGATGAAACATAAACGTGGCAGAGAAAATGGAGGTAGGTTAATGGCTATGCGTATGTACATATATACATTTATATAAACAATATATATATATATATAAACATCGAGCTGTATTTATAAAAAATGACCAAAAATGTTTGCCCTGAAGTATTTGATGAAACATAAACGTGGCAGAGAAAATGGAGGTAGGTGAATGGCTATGCGTATGTACATATATACATTTATATAAACAATATATATATATATATAAACATACAGTATATGCAATTATATTTGAACAGTTCCTTAAGATGACCCAATTTTTATGCATAAAATATATCTATAAATTATAAATTTTTAAAATTCACATGGCTTTTATTCAAATTTAGTCAATAACTATTACCTAATTTTTAATCATGTATATGCTATGCATATACAGGGGTACTTCAAAAAGTTCATGGAAAAACAGAATTGAATGATCATATGAATTTTTTTCATGAACTTCTGTAGTACCCTTGTATATCGAGCATAGGCTAATATTAGAGAAACCATTAGAATATTCAGAAATAGTTTCTTTAATTTACCTTTCTAACATTGAGGTTATTTGCTAATTTACTGGTGTGTAGTGGGCTGTCTTGACTCTGCAGGCTTAACTCTAAATAAATGAAATTCA